GGGTGCATAGGAACTCTTTGTACTTTTGGCACCATTTTCCTGTAGTGCTAAAACTGCTCTGAAAAATAATGTCTATTAAAGAAAAAAAAAGTGAGGTACATCTTCTACCAAGTGGCTGGTCCTTTTTCAGAGTTCTGGGGAGAAATCTCAGTTCTGCTCAGAAAGACAAATAGCAATCTACGGGATTTTTCTCAATGTGTCCCTATGGGATCTTTTCCCAGCATTCTGGCAGAGGGGGCATTTGCCCTGCCTGAGAAAACACAACATTACTTTTGGAATTCTGATGGTGCTAAGCCTTCGATGGCCATTTTCTAACTGTCTTTAAACCCTTTTGAGTACAACAGTTCCAAGCTGTGGTTTCTTTATGTGAGGTGACTAACAGCTCCACCATTCTCAAGGGGAATGCATTAATCTAGCACTCAAACCACCTACTGGCTTCCGGTCTCTGTTATCAGCTAAGCCATCGGCCACAAGCTGACATTTCAGAAGCTCCTCCCCCATTACCTTCAGAAGAAAAAAAGTGACAGGAGAGAAAAAGGCTCATTTGGCAAAAGTTTGCTCTTGCTGTTTGGCCTGGAGAAAGACATTCAGAGTGGTATAAGATTGTTTAGTAACAGCTGGCAAGCACCAGGGTGTGAGGCTGATATTCAGCCATGACAGGCACTTAGAGGAATTCTGCCAGATACAGCTGTTTAAAAGCCTTAATAAACAGCAAGTCAATACTAATCTTTGCCAAATTAATCTTTTCCCTGACAGCCCATCAGGGCAATTATGTTTAGGCTTATTGTAAACACACATTGTCAAACAGTGATGCTCCCGCCTTTAAAATACTGTAGTTTGGGTCATAGTCTTTCTTTAGAATGTTATTTTTTTTTCTCCATGGAATTTTAAGTCTTACTATTTTATTTTCCAATCACTATTATTTTCTGGCCTCATATCAGTGTGAATGAAATTTCACTTTCAAATGTCTTTGCTAGCAAGCTGTTAATACAATGCAAAATGATGACAGCCGTAGGATTCGTGCTGGTGGCCATTTGCTGGGCTGCTGTAATGAGGCACAACTCTGCCCCATGCAGAAATATAACATGTCATTGTTCTCAGTTGTTGCTGTCTGTGGAACAAAAATTCATCTTTACTTTTTTTTACCTATTAGAATGTAATCTGGTCCTGGATACACAGGACAAGATATTTGGTGAAGTAATAAATGGGAAGGTCAATTGTAATTTCTTTGTCTATATGGAGATCCAAAACCAAACCAAACTCACTGGCATTGACTTGGATCCAACTCATAGTGACCCCTCCTTGGGTTTCTGAGGCGGTATCCCTATGGAAGTAGATTGCCATTTTCCTTCCAAGGAGTGGCTGGTGGGTTTGAACTGCCAGCCTTCTGCTTAGCAGTCAAATGCCTTAGGTGCTATACCACCCAGGGACTCCTATATTCACTCACTGCCATCGAATCCATTCTGACTCATAGTGACCCCTCCTTGGGTTTCCGAGGCAGTATCACTATGGAAGTAGATTACTCAATCTTCCTTCTGAGGAGTGGCTGGTGGGTTTGAACTGCCAGCCTTCTGGTTACAATCAAATGCCTTAGGTACTATGCCACCAGAGCTCTGTGAGGATATATATATATATATATATGTATATATGTATATATGTATATATATGTATATATGTTGTTGTTGTTGTGCCATCAAGTCAGATCTGACTCTTAGTGACCCCTCTTTGGGTTTTCGAGGCAGTGTCACTACAGAAGCAGATTGTCCCATCTTCCTTCCGAGGAGTGGCTGGTGGGTTTGAACCATCAGCTTTCTGGTCAGCAGTTAAGTGCTTTAGGCACTATGCCACCAGAGCTCCCATATATATATGTGGTTGTTGTTGTTGTTGTTGTTATTTGCCATCGAGTCGGCCCCGACTCATAGCGTACAAATGGTTAATATGCTTAGCTGCTAACTGAAAGGCTGGGAGCTTGAGTCCACCCAGAGGTACCTTGGAAGAAAAGCCTGGTGATCTGCATCTAAAAAATCACCCATTGAAACCATAGGGAGCACAGTTCTACTCTGACACACATGGAGTCACCATGAGTTAGGGTTGGCCAACCACAAAGCAACTGACTTGGTTACATGCACATTGCTAATTGTGCGTATCTTGGCTTTGAGGTTACCTCTCCCTCCTGCTGCTACAAGCCTTCCTCCTTTGTGGTCAGGTAGCTCCTCTACTCCCTTTCTCCAACCAATCGTCTTGTGTAAAGATTTGGAGACTTTTCTGTTAGAGCAGGTTCTTCCAGGCTAGGACCTGGTTCCAAACAAAAGTAGGGAAATCTCCTTTAAGAATCTTAAAAATGGACCCATTTCTTCTTACCCTGGTATAATTTAGATGCAGTCCAGGAAATATGCTTTGTTACTTGTTTGATTAAGTCATACTAACACTTTGTAATTACAAACAAAAGAAACAAAAAACCCCACAAAAAATACCAGCACCTTGTTCATCAGTGTTTTAATTTAACTTCCCATAAGCTTGTCTCCTCAACTTTCTCTCTTGTACTCAACACTCTTACTTGTGTAGCAGCACTTTTTCCCCTCCTTGCTTCTTATTTTCTTGATGTGGCTAGTGTGTATTATCTTTCACTTTTGTCAAAACTAGAAAAACTCTTGTTAAATTATGCAGACCAAAGAAACATGGCATAACTCATTCTGAAATTACTTCTTTCGATCTTATTATAAACTTAGGCTTCTTAATGGAAAATTTCCACTCTTCTTTATCTCTTAATGCTTACTAGCAATATTCAACTCCTTTCTATATTTTTTATTGTGGTTATATATGTGTGTGTGTGTGTGTGTGTATACACACACACACACACACACATATACATATATATATAAACCCAACATTTGCCAATACAACATTTTTATATATACAATTCAGAGACACTGGTTACATTAACCGTGATATGCCACCATCACCCATATCTGTTTCAAATTTTCCATCACCATTAACAGATGCTCAGTGCTTCTCAAACTTTCTTGGGAGTAAAATTTCTGGGTTGTATAGTATTTCTTTGTTTAAATGTGTGAGGCTCCACCAAACTGTTTTCTGCAGTGGCTGTACCATTTTGCATTCCCACCAGCAATGGTTGAGGCTTCCAGTTTCTCCACATCCTCACTAACACTTGTTGTTTGCCTAATTTTCTTCTATGTGTAAAGAATTTTTAAATCATCAAGGAAACACACACTTCCTTTTGAGGATAATTTGTGATGTTTCACTGATCTTTCTATATCTCATTGCATTTATTGAACATTTACTATGTACTATGATATTGCAAGTTGTTTAGTAGTTAAGAAATTTTAGGGAGGCAAGAGAGATATGTACCATGAGTTTACCTATTAAATGACAGTGTAATAGGGTTAACTTCATTATGTCGATTCTGTACTTGGTTCTGCCTCTATTTCAATGTTTAATCATCAACAAAAGAGATCAATTTCTTTGTGATTTATCTTCAGCTTAAAATAAGAGTGATGAGTAGAATGAGAAATTGCACTTCCAACAAATAAACATTAAGAGAGCATGTATGTATAATAGACTTGCAGGCCCCACCAGATAACCTATCTATTACAAATTTCCCACATTAAAATGTTTACCATAACAAAGAAATAAGGATGGTTATTGAAATTTACTGGAATCCAGGCATTTAAAGTAGGTATTTTATAGTATAACTGAGTTGCTTGGGACTAATTCTAAATGGGGCACCTTTTAAAGAAATATGACTCTTTTATTTTTTTCCCTAGGAATTTGTGAAGTACATCTAACTCCATTTGAAATTATTAGCTGAAGTTGTAGCCAAACCTCCACTGTCTTTTGTCCCACAATACTGGATGGAACCATATGAAATTGTCATCTTTGTAGACAAAAGGTCAAATATTATCAATTTTGGAGGGTTTCAATTTAATTACATTTGAAATGGATGGGGTAAGTCTTTTGCAAAGGGCAAGAGGCTCATGGAAAAAAAGAGATTGGCTGTTGTGGTAATTTAAAATTTTGCATTAATAGTTGTTTTTCTTTTTTTTTTTTTTCCTTCCCCTCCATATGAATTCAAGCCAGGAAAGTCTGGTCTTTTAGTCACAGCTATCTACAGATGCTCATGTCCCAATCAGAATGGGCTTTCTCAAAGAGGCAACAAGAGAAAAATAATCAACCCTCATCCTTAGCTATCTTCACTAATTTGATTAATTGGAAGTCATTATTTGACTAATTTCCATTGCCAAGTCATTCACATTTGGATGAGTATTGGCTTTGGGATGATTCTTTCTTGTGTGTGTTACAGACACAAGTAGATCTCCTACCATTCTTTTCTTTTGTTTTCTAATTAGCTATTATTTCAAGTTTATTGAGGTTAGAAAGTATTTTGTGTTCAGTAGGATTGCTGAATCCCCAGAATGGCTATATTCAAGGTCTAAGGGTCTCACGCAGTACTTCTGCAGGGAACTAAGTGTGAATCACAGTTGTTCCTCCAAGTTATAAGCTATGGTCTTGTATGGTACTCTCAACTCGGCCCTGGTGAGACAGTGGCTTCCTGTAAAGGTGAAACCAAACAAAACAGTTTCCATCGAGTCAACTCCCTATCCACGGCTATCTCATGTGTTCCAGAGCAGACCTGTGCTCCATAGGGTTTTTGATGGCTGATTCTTTGGAAGTAGATCACCAGGCTTTTCTTCCTAGGCACCTCTGGGTAGACTTGAACCCCCAACATTTGATTAGCAGCTGAGTGTTAAGTGTTTGCACTGCTGGGACCCCTTTAAAGATGGTGGCTGTCAGGCAATTCTCACCTTTATGCAGCCTCAGATTGATGAGAGGGAGTTCTTAGTGTTTTAGGAAAGACTGTGGTCATGGCAGCCAGTAACCCCTACTGTGTTCCAGCCCCTCTTTCATGAAATTTATTTGGGATTTCTCATTTGTTTCTGTCCTTTAAAGACCGATGGATAACCAAATAGAATACGGTCACTCACGCATGGTAAGTATTTTTATTTAGGATGTATTTTCTTTTATTTACACATATGTATTTACTGTATTTGGTATTGAATTTTAACACTTTCTCTACCCTGGTTGTACACCTGTTCTGGAAAAGCTGTAAACAACATAGCACTTTCCTGTACAAACTGCCTGTCAAAGTCAAAGCTGGCTGTTCAAATCCCGGTAATTACTTTCTCATTTTAGACTCAATGCAAAGTGAAATTTTCACTTGATCATAATATAATAAATAAAAGACATTAGGTAATTAGTAGTCCTGGTGTATTTCTAAAATACTAAACAGACAAACAATCAACTGTGAACTTAATCACATGAGTTCTTATACAGTTTTAAGACAGGAAAATTAGAGCTCTCAGCTACAGTCATTTTAATAATCACACTGGATCTGCATTATTTATTAGTTATTACATGCTCAAGTGATTCAGGTTGTACAATACCTAAAATCATTCCAAAGCAAGCATACCTTTTGTCTTTTTAATTCTGACTGGATTACACAATGCATATATTTGTATTTAGTTAAATTGCCAAGTTTACTTCACACATTCCATGAAAGAGACGTCAGCCATCCTCTTGATTTCTAACCAGACTAGCTTTCTTGATTTGATCCCCCCATAAGGGCATAGTTTGCTAGCTCTTTTGATTTTAAAGCCATGCAAACCTTCAGCCAGATTCTCAATGCTTTCGGTTCCCTTGCAAATCTCTTGTACCCTCAGAATTCTCTTGGAAGACCCAGGAATTCTGAAAAGAGAAATAAATAGTCTATAGAAGCACAAAAGACAGGAGGAACTTCATTTTCTATCAGCTGCTTCCAAATTTGAGGGGCTTTCCCTTTCTTTTGGCTGTTGGGTCACTCACCTTTCATTTTTGCTTGTATTCTGGGCAGTACGCTTCCCCTTCACTTCCTCCCAACCCTGTTCAGCTCTTAAACGTTCTCTGAATTTGGTGAAAAGCATGCAACTGGAGGAATTTTGGTTGATTCAATTTTGTTATTTTTGGGGGGAAGTTTATAGAACTGACTCAAACCAGCTGAGAGGCAAGAAGCAACCCTTTTCAGATAAAGCACCCATCATGCTTGTTGAACCTTGTAGCTTGCGTGACTTGAGGGCAATTTTCGATAACATTGTACAAAGAAAGAATGTTCTTAAATATCATAGTTCTTTTTTTCTTTCTTTCTTTTTTTTTTTTTCATCCACCAAAGAAATGCAGAAATAAGGATTGGTTGCTTTAATTTGCTGCAAAATGAAAAGCAGGTTTGGCTTTATTCATGTCACTGTAAAAACTAAATAATAAAGTATTCACACCAAGCGTGAATTTTTTTTGCCAGCAAAAGTTAAAACATCAAAGAAACCTCTTTCAAATACTAACAAATTTACTTACAAACACCTATATTTATTATTTCATAAATAGGCGCAACAGGTTCCATAAAAAAAGATTAAATACAGACACAGTATGAAGAAACAATAATACAGAGCCATATGTAAAGGTTATAATTTAGATGTTTCCAATCTGTTTCTGTATCTAATAAAATACCAGGTAAGCATTTGGCAGTTTTATACATAAAAGGACTTAAATGACGCTTGCTAATCATTACACAAAAAGTGATACAAAAAAGCAATTTCTCTGCAGTACAAAATAAATGTGTTTGCGCTTCTCTTAACACTAGTTTCTTTATGTCCGATCCATAAGACAAAGCCAATTTGTTTTTAAATGAAAATCATTTGGGAATACCTTTTTATTTTTCCAAATATTTTGAAAATATAGAAACTATTAGTTGTTTTAAAAATGAAGTAAAAATATGAATGTTTGCCAATTTAACCCCTATTGTGAAATCAATAAACTGGAATGAGCCAGTTTCCAATTACCATTTAGCTACAAAAACATTCACATTTTATACTCTAGGAGAGTGTAACATAGATGCTATTTACAAACTTGCTATGACTGCTACATCAAGCCATTTAAAAAGTCTTTAGTAGTTTCATATAAACACCCATTATGAAAACCAATGGAAAATCCAGGACTTTTATCCGAGACATCTACAGCTGCTAAGGCAGTTACTAAAGCGCAGCACTTCACAGCAAAAAACCAACATAAAATCTGAACGGTCCAAACTTCCTTCAGGGAAGAAGAAAAACAATGTCCATAAGGGATTAAAAAAATAATAAAGAAGCATGACTATTTCTTCCAGAGTGGGTGACCCACAAGCTCACATGGTCCTAAGTGCTTAGCAACTTGTATTTTCTAATAAAATGGAGAACCGCCTTGGCTGTACAAAGCAATCCATGGTGAAAAGACTTCCCTGACTTCCTCAGTAGAAAGAAGAGGCGTTGGGATTCTCAGGTAAGGTACAGTGCTTTGTCCCTCTGCATTCCCCTGTGTGGAGAGAAAACAATACCTTGTTATGAGAAAACCTGTACTACTGGTGACAGGGAGAGTTACATGTTTGACTTACCTGCTCTAGCTTGAGGGATGGAGTTGCTACTTACTGGGAACGTGTGTAATTAGGTGACCTACTCTGCAGTGGTGTCACTAGGGTTGGTGTCACCCAGGGTGGTAACTCATGGTATCACCTCCCCCCTCCTTGGGCCTCCTCCTTTACAGAATCCTTAGTAATGTTTTTATCAATTTTAATCACATAATAATGTGTGATAAATATAATTTTCAATTGCTTAAATGTAGTATTTCTTATACAAATACTAACCAAATAGTAGGACTTTCTACATTTAATTACAACTTATTTGTTACAACATTATTAGTAACTAAGCAGAAGCCTATTTTGATTTTTCTGTTTTTTCTTTAATTACTACTTCTTTCTTAAAAGTAGTTATTGATATAGGTTCACAAATACTAATTACCACAATATTGTAGCTAAAATACCAGAAAATTTGACAAAATCAGCAACTGTAAAACACTAGCAGCAACAAAAACAACAGCATAGGGCTTGTAGCACATGCACGAAACCTATGTAATTCAAAGAGTCACATACAATTGGGTAATAACGACAGCTCTGCCCAGAGCAAGATTCAAAAAGCAAATCAGCATAGAGTTTTAACCTTGTAGGTATATTGATACATGTAAGCTGTACTTGAGAAAAAAAAAAAAAAAATTTTTTGTAGTTATAACTAACTACAGGGATATTTTTTATAAAAACTAAATTTCTGCTAGAAACAATTTTATAGACAGTTATTTTGGTGTCACCTGATGTGACAATGTCTGTTGCTTGGTGTGGTCCACATCCTCATACCCCCTAGTGACAACACTGCTATTGAAAAGCTAAGAACTATTTAAGGGCGTTTGTTCCCTGCAGGGAGTCCCTGGGTTGTACAAACTATCACAGTGCTTGGCTGCTAACCAAAAGGTTGGTAGGTGGAGTCCAAGTTCCTCAGAACAAAGGCCTGGAGATCTAATTCTGAAAAATCATCCTTGAAAAGCCCGTGGAGCACAGCTCTACCTTGACACACGTAGGGTGGACATGAATTAGAATCAACATGATGGTAACTAGTTATTCTTGGTAGGGATACAAGACTGCTTAAACATTTCTAGAGAAGTGTCTTCTGCTTCCATGAACTTGGGACCATTCCACATGGTATTTTAGAAAGTGGGAAAAAAGATAGATTTGCCCCTTGATGAAGGAGCCAGGCACGATGTGCATGCTATGAGAGGATCCCACCACCAGGTGGCAGTCACTGGCCGCTTACCCACTACTGCAGTAGTCGTTATTCCAGTCCACAGGCTGGGTGGGAGGATTTCTGCAACCCGAACGCACATACTCCATTGCTTGGGTGACAACTTGTGCAGCTGTAGATGTAGGATTGATAATAGTCTGATAGTCGGGTTGAAGAGCAAATCCCTGAAAGGGAAAGTAAGTTTGCAAATAAGGCTCAAAGTATCTTTTTTTTTTTTTTTTTTTAAAGAAGAAAATCATATTTATCTACTCTTTTCAAACACACTACTGCTTTCTTTTTTACATCTCTGTGAGGGCAAGCATATCGTAAGGTCACAGGAAAATTAAAACAAAAGTTTTTTGTTTTTTTTTTAAAGTGCCCAAATTCCGTTCTTCTACCTTTCCTTCTAAACGTTTCAGAAAACCTTTAATTATACTCTTGAGATGATAGACAGAATTGAGAAACAATTTAAAATACAGAGATGCCAACTCAATCAAAACAAAGGGAAGAAAGGGTCTTGACCCCTCAAAGTTTGTTTTCTATCAAACCTAAGGACACATTAATAGTTAATCCCCAGAATATGCAACAGAATCTTTTTTGAAGGATTCAGGCAGCAGGTGGTTGAGTGTTTTATTAGACTACACCTATTCACATATTGTTCTCAAAACCCTTTTTCTTCATTCAATCACAAAGGGACCATCTGCTTCTTCTTTTATTTGTACTTCTCTCTCAGCTAAAAAATTCAACCAAAGCTTTTTAACAGTTGTTGGACTAATATAGGGAAAGAGATTCAAAACCTGCCATTGGAAGACAGAAAGGGAAGAGTGTAAGGCAGGGCAAATATTTTTTTAATTGAAAAGTCTATTAGCTGGCAAACAATAATCATACTTCAGGAAGATTCTTTTAATATACTGGAATGGTGAAGTGTTGACTTTTAATCCTTGCAAAGCTATTAAAAATTCAAGGAGAGAATCTCTGCAGTATATAGTTATATCTGGTAAACAAAAAGCATTCTATAGTAAGAATTATTTTTAGCTTATCTGGTAAATTCAAGTGCAGCAGAAACAGGCTTTGCTAGAAGTGACCAAAAAAGCAACTTAATTAATCTCATGGTTGTCTCTTTCTGCAGTAGATTTCATCCATGGTTTTAATCACTGAAAAATCAACAGATTTTAAAATGAACCATTCTCTATTTACTTGCAGGAAGCTTTTGCAGGCATTGCATTGTTTTTATTTTTTTAAACTCAGCATGATGATCAGAGGATTGACTTTTCACTAAGGATATTTCCTTAGTCTTTTATTCAGGATTGGGTCTTCATGGGGTAAAGACTCAGAGATGTCAATTATGAAATGACCTCAATTTTCAATATTGGATTTAAGATATTACTGAAATTATTTTCCATCAAAATAATAAAGACTTTAAGCCAAAGTCCATACTAGTTCTGGCCAAAGCTGTGCACAAAAGACAAAACTCTCTGAATGTTTGGAAATAAACCATTAAAGAGTGGAAAATTAAGCCAAACTGGTTATCTGATATCACACAGACTTAAAAGGCATAGAATGTTCCCAAATTAACAACAGGTGTGTGGGGAATAAGTTTGTCTACTTAGACACTATCTGCATCTCAGCATCTTCTAAAACAGGAAAGTGAAAAGTAAGAGGTATTAATAGGCTGCTCAATTTACCAATCCTTTCCCATTTGTCTTCCTCGCTCTCTGCAGTCCATCCCACACCTTGCCAGGCTAGAAGAATCACTGATTTCAGTGAAATTTATTAATCTCACATGGTTTTGTAATATTGTCTTAATGTGGCTTAGTGATAACTTTCTTTCTTTGTATTCTTAGTGTCTAGTGTGATGCTAGGTCCCTGGTGGTACAAACAGTTTGTGTTCAATTCCTAATCTAAAGAAGAATACTGAGTAGACCATGGAATTCCAGAATAATGAATATGTCGTAGATGAAAGCTCCTTAGAAGCAAAGGTACAGATACTTGGTGTTATGTACTTGGACGTGTTATCAGGAGGGACCAGTTCCTGGAGAAGTACATCATGTTTAGTGAAGCAGAGGGTTAGCAAAAAGGAAGACCCTCAATGAGATGGATTGACATAGAGGCTGCAACAATGAGCTCAAACATAGTTATGACTGTGAGGTTGGCACAGGACCAGGACTGTTTTGTTCTCTTGTACATAGGGTTGTCATGAATTGGAACTGACTTGGCAGCATCCAAAACCAACAGTCCATAGTAGTAGCTCAATAAAGAAAATATTTCAACAAATACAGGTAATACAGACTGATGCTGTTGGAAAGTCATAGGGAGTATAAATGAATAAATGTCATGACTTCCTATGCTTGAGTGTAAAATTCTCCACATTGGATGTTAGCCAAACCCACAAAATGTAACCTAAAAGTAAACAAGTCTCAACTATAGAGTAATTGAAAATATTTTGAGTTAAAGTCAAGGACAGGTTTACACAAGGACTTTGTTGGTTACAAGGGATGGCAGGAGAGGGGAGGGAAAATTGCTGACTAGTTAAGAAGCATGTGTTGATCTGGGTGATGGGAAAGGCAATATAACAAAAGTTTGTGACAAACACAATATCACTAAGGAAAAGAAAGAGAGAGATTCACACGAGGTCTAGACAACAAAGGTAAATACTATTACATACATAGTACTGCATGATCAGTAATAATAAACATGAGAGGATACATAAGTAGACAGACAAGAAGATCAGGTATGGGTAGGCGAATGGGAATATACCCATGAACATACATACATTTGGCAGATGATATTCCTGCATACATATTTGTATGTGCTATAAAAATGTCCATATACCTTATAGAGCTAAAAGGGGACAAAGTTAGGATAACTTCTTTGCCACAACCAAGCCCCTTGAGGGAGTGAGTTGCTAGGCCTGTGGACTTGGGACCATGGTCATAGAAGGACATTAAGCTCTGCGGTGTAGTAAATTACTTTGTATGGCTTTTCTACCCATAAATCATTGTAAACTCAGTGGTAGAATGAGCAACTGAGGAGCTCCTGATTGCTGAAGCTATCCACCTGGGTTATTTCTGTTGGGCGTGGCACAAAACAATGTTCTGGGAGGTGTCCACTCTCTCTCAGGTGCTTAGATTGGCTAGTTTGGCTACTCTGTCAGGCTCAAAAGGAGGTCTCCTAGAGGTAGAACTCTCTGACTGCTGGTTGAGGAAGACGTGCTGCTGAAAGAGACACGGGCTCCTGAGACACGCATTGCTGGGAAAGAGACGCAAGAGACACGCATCACTGAGTAAGACACGAGGGACCAGCACTGCTGAGAAAGAGACTGTGAGAGACTGTTGGCTGAGGGATGGTGGGCTGGAGAGAGAGACTGAGCATTTTTTCCTGAACACAAATTGTAGCTTGGTGCTTCCCTAATAAACCTTGTAATCTGTGAGTTCTGTGTGGCCACTGCAGTGAATTATCGAACCCAGGAGAGAGGTGGTGGGTGCTCTGGGAGGAACAGTTGGAGAAAGGGCTGGAGGGAGGCAACATGTCTGGCCTGGCAGTAATAGGCCTTGGGTTACTGCTGGTAACCCTGTCTTCCCCTTGTGGGATTAGAGGAGGTCAGAACATGTGGCCTCCTTGCCGTTTTTGCAAGCTCAATTGGCATAATATAGTACACAAAAACATTGTGCTACATCCTATTTTGGTATGTAGTGATTGGGGTCTTAAAAGCTTGTAGTGGCCATCTAAGATGGAACTATTGGTCTCTCTTCTTCCAGAGCAAAGAAGAGAGAAGAAAATCAAAGGTGTATGGCAACAATCAGTCCAAGGGACTAATGGAACATGGGGACCTCAGTCTACAGAACCCTGAGAACCAGAAGAACCAGATAGTACCTGGCTACCAAAGCCAACCACTCAGAAAGGGATCAAAACTGGAGTTCCTGGATAGAGTGGGAGAAAAAATGTGGAACAAATTCAAAACTTAAAAAAGACCAGGAATCCTGGCCAGGAAGAGATTGGTAAAGCCCCTGAGACTTTGGCCCTGAGTCACCCTTCAGGGCTGGAAATGGACTCACTCCCAACAGCTTAACTCTCACCAAAACACTAGGCCTATGAGTCAAACAACTACACCAGGGATGCATTCCTTAGAACAATCAACCACGGAAGATCAGAAGGGTAGCATTTGCACAGAAGAAAGCTATGCAGGAATGCATAAGTAAGAAGGACACAGGGAAGGGGTTACCTCAGGGAGGAGAGCTGTTACATTGTGGGGATTATAATCAGTGTTGTAAAACCAAATGCATATGAATGTTGAATGCAAAACAAATATGCTTTGTAAAATTGCACCAAAATCACAATAAAACCCACTGTCATTCAGTTGAGTTAGATTCATAGCAACCCCCACTGGGTTTCCAAGGTGGTAAATCTTTATAGAAGTAGACTGCTTCATATTCCTTTCATGGAGCAGCTGGTGAGTTTGAACTGTTAACCTTCTGGTTAGCAGGCAAATGCCTTAGGCACTGAACCACCAGAGTTCCTTAAAAAGTTTTAAAAAAATTTATTTTTTTTGAGTTAGCTGAAGGTATGGAAACATTGTTGTCAGGTTCGAGTCAGCTCGGACTCATAGTGACCCTCTGTGCAGTGAAATGAAACTTGGCCTGGTGTGTGCCATCTTCATCATCTTTGCTGTGCTTGAGCCCATCACTGAAGCCATTGTGTCAGTCCACCTCATTGGCAGTCTTCCCTTTTTTCATTGACCCTCTACTTCACCAAGCATGATATCCTTCTCCAGAGAATGGTCCCTTCTGACAGCATAAGAAGCAGCAAAAAAATAAAAAGACAAACGGAATCCCCTGCCATCTACCCCCACACAACAACAAACAGGAAGCTACATTTCTTTTTTCTCATCCAATGGAAATACTTTCTCACGGCTAGGTGACAAGAATATCAGGAGAACATTATTTGTTTAAGTTATTAGTTTAAGATTAGGTGGGTGATTACAGTTCATAAAACTAAAATTATGTTCAAAGATTTAAAATTCAGCTAACTTCAATGCCTAGATTTAACAAGATCATTCTTATTAAAATAATGAAGGACCAAGAAGAATGAAAGGGAAGTCTTAAGTAACATTATTATTATCATTATTATTATTTATTGTGGCGGGTGGTTCAAACCCACCAGCCACTCCTCGGAAGGAAGGTGGGGC